GGTTAGCGACCCACCCCTATCAAATGAGTTGTAAGCAGGGGATACATGATCAATGAATTAGTTGGCCGCCATGCCCGTCATGCCCCCCATCGACTGGGAGTTACGACGTGCAACAGTTTTTTGTTTCTTTGTATTTGGTAAGCGACGTCCATCAACCAAGTGTGTCAGCAAGGGATATATGATCGCTGTATAAGGCGGCCGTCATGCCCCTCATCGACTGAGAGGTACGATCTGCGCCACGGGTTCTTTGGAGTAACAGTAGTGGTATGTAGCGCGCATGATTTTTTTTTGTTAACGACCCCTATCAACAAGTGCCCGTCATGCCCCCCATCGACAGAGAGGTCCGACCTGCGAACGATTTTGTTGGCGTAACCTCAACATAGTACCGTATGTTTGGTCGTTTTCTGTTAGCGACCCCTATCAATAAGCGTCCGTCATGCCCCCCATCGACTGGGAGTTACGACCTGCGAAAGATTTTGTTGGCGTAACCTCAACATAGTACCGTATGTTTGGTCGTTTTCTGTTAGCGACCCCTATCAATAAGCGTCCGTCATGCCCCCCATCGACTGGGAGTTACGACCTGCGAAAGATTTTGTTGGCGTAACCTCAACATAGTACCGTATGTTTGGTCGTTTTCTGTTAGCGACCCCTATCAATAAGCGTCCGTCATGCCCCCCATCGACTGGGAGTTACGACCTGCGACTTTTTTATTTAGTTTTTGGTTAGCGAACCCCACCAACTAAATTAAATTGAGTGTCAGGAGGGGATGTACGGTCGCTTCTATTCAGGGCACCGGGGAAATCGGGCGTACAAAAAACCGACCTCAAAACCTACTGCCACTGCTGTGGGTCCGCCTGGAGCCAGCAATACTTGCCTAGCGTGTTCATCCGTCGATTTCCTTCAAGTACAAGCAAAGCATGCAGGTCGCGCTTCATGTAATACAGAACATTCACGAGCGCATCTCGCAAGCGAGGTGCGTGGACACGACAACGATATGGTACATACATACTGTACGCACAACTTTCGGCCCGCCGGGCTCTGGAAAACACATCAATCGGCATCTCTCTCTCCGTTTCTCTCGACCTCTTGTCTCTCTCAGTGGCAAAACACGAGCTGCGCTCAGAGCTCTACTCTACCAACAGCCAACGACGTACCTGATGGACCACTACCTGCCCCGCCCTGAGGCCCCCGGTTCGCCCTCCGCATCATCACCCCTCCCCCTCCGCCGCCGTCATTCCCGTCGTCATTCAAGTCCTTCCGCCAGGAGTGGTTGTGGTAGCCCCCCAACCCAGCCGCCCCGGCGGCGCCAGCAGCAGCGGCACCAGACCCCGGCTCCCCCTTCGCCCCCACGGAAGACCCCGCGTAGTACGAAGCGGCGTCGTCGTCGTCGTTGATTCCGCCGACACCTCCGCTGGCGGCGGCGGACCGCTGCCGCGGGCCAGAGGAAGACGGGCCGGAGACCCTTGATATTCTGCTCCCGGCGTCCCACTGAGAAGCGGTGTCGTCGTCGTTGACCCCGACGCTGCCACCGCCGCGGCCGTTGCCGCCGCCGGCCCCCATCGCCGCCGACGACGACGGTCGCCCGCCGGTGTACTGGGACGCGGCATCATTGTCTCCGACGACGCTTTCGAGCCCCGCCGCCCCCTTCCAGCTGCCGCCGATCCCGACGATCGACTCCGGCGGGCTCATGCTCGCCCGCCCC